CTTGACTGCTGCTTCCGTGAGTGTTGATAGTTGATCCAAGAAGAATGAAGTCCTTGACAACTTCAATCTTTTCTCCATTGATAAGAATGTTGTCTATTGGTCCAGTGGTGAGGATTTTTGTTTACTTTACATTGAGATGCAATCCATACTAAAGGCTGTGGTCTTTGATCTTCGTCAGTAAGTATTTTAAGTCCTCTTCACTTTCAGCAAGCAAAGTTGTATCATCTCATATCACAGGTTGTTAATGAGTCTTCCTCCAATCCTGATGCTGTGTTTTCTTCATATAATCCAGTTTCTCAGATTATTTGCTCAGCATACAATTTGAATAATATGGTGAAAGAATACAACCCTGCTGCACACCTTTCTTAATTTTAAAACATTCAGTGTTCCCATGTTATGTTCAAACAACTGTCTCTTGGTCCGTGTACAGATTTCTCATGAGCACAATTTAGTGTTCAGGAATACTCATACTTCACAATGTTGTCCATAGCTTTTCATGATCCACACAATCGAAAGCCTTTGTGTAGTCAATAAAGCACAAGTAAACATCTTTCTGATATTCTCTGCTTTCAGCCAAGATCCATTGGACATCAGCAATGATCTCCCTCATTCCATGTCCTCTTCTGAATCCAGCTTGAACCTCTGGAAGTTCTCTGAACAATATATGTTTGCAGCCATTTCTGTATTACCTTTAGTAAAACTTTACTCGCATGGGATTTCAAAGAGATTGTCCAGTGATTTCCGCATTCCGTTGGTTCACCTCTCTTTGGAATGGGCACAATTACGGATCTCTTCCAATCTTTAGGCCAGATAGTTGTCTTCCAAAGTTCTTGGTATATGTGAGTGAGTGCCTCCTCCAGTGTCACCTCATTTTCTTGAAAGATTTCAATTTTTATTCTATCAATTCCTGGTACCTTGTTCTTTGCCAATTCCTTCAATGTACCTTGGACTTCCTCCTTCAGTATCATTGGCTCTTGATCATTTGCTGCCTCTTGAAACGGCTGAAAATCAACCATTTATTTCCTTTTGGTACAGTGACTCTGTGTATTCCTTCCATCTTCTCTTGATGCTTTCTGAATCATTCAATAATTTGCCAAGAGACTCCTTCAATAATTAAAGTTGAGATTTGAATATTTCTTCAGCTCCCCCAGCTTGAGAAATGCTGAGCGTGTTCTTCCCTTTTGGTTTTCTGCCTCCAGACCTTTGCACACTTCATTGTAATGTTTGACTTTGTCTTCTTGAGTTGACCTTTGAAATTTTCTTTTCATCTCTTCTACCTCCTCATTTATTCCATTTGTTTTAGCTTCTCTACGCTGGAGATCAAGTTTCAGTGTTTTTTCTGACATCCATTTTGACC